CACACAGACTGTGAGTCATACTTTTCCTTAACAGACGTTCTCGAAGATCACGTCGATTCACCGAATCGAAGGCACCTTCGATGTCCAGGAATACGACAACCATGGGTTGCCAGTATATATGACGGTGCTTCAACAATTGACGTAAAGCGGAAACGTGATCCACGCAGCCACGACTACGACAAATACCGGTTTACTTCTCACTAACCTGGCTTTCACAAGCACCAGTCAGTTTGTGGCTGATGACGAAGGCAAGTAGCTTGTAGGTGATGGGGATCATTATCATCATATTACCGGAGCAACACGGCTTCAATTAACATCGGGCATCCACTGCCAGTCTACTGATTGCGCGAGGTAGTTGAATCGAAACAACGGATGATGGGACAGGAACTAATGTCATCTATCTAGAATTTTCGAAAGTCTCCAACCGCTTAGATCGATGCAAAGGGCTTGTTCTATCCACCGTACAAGCTACGTCTGAAAACCTTAGGAGTGTACAGCGGAACTTATCTCCGTCTGCCGGGTGTCATTCTGACGTATCCGATTTTCTATGACCGTAACCACCTTTGCTGCCATCTGCATCTTAACTACAACACAAAGTTAAGGTGTCACCAAGTGAACTGGCCACCCAATACAGCCGGCTGCAATGTCGCCTGATTTTTTCTCCTGCTTTGTCGGCGTTTATCGCTCTTCCGACTCTTCATTTCTGCACCCACGTTACCCTTTTATAAAATCTACTCCATCTGCAATACGAGCTTTGAATTCCGCTCGTCGATTGACGACAAGACGCAGACAAATATTGTGCGCACCCACCCCCCTGAACTCGGAGTGGGCAGATTTACATGTCGGTTTAGGTGGATATTATAGTGAGTCCAAAAATGCGCGGTTTGCTTTGCTGTCACATTTTTCACATAAATCATCCCACGGAACTTGTCAAGCGTTAACTTTTTACCCGTATCATTCCATTGTACTCGAACATCTTCGTACCGTTTAATTGGTTGTTTAATGTACCTGCGGAACTTGCAAAGAAGACGGAATTAGCAACCCATTTGAACTTAATCGAGCTGCTCTGTGTATTTGGTGTTACACGTAGCGCCAAGCGATTGATCGCGGCATGCGTACAGCACTTCGGGAAAGGTAGATGTGAACACCGAAGTCTATTCTAATGTACTACCCGAGCCGTGCACTCAATTGTGCAGCGTGATGCAGGTGGATTCTGCATTTACAAAACATTAATCGCATGCAAATTATTGAGTGAACATCTCAAATTAATTTACAAAATCTTTCTTCTATGCATAGAGCTTGCGCACCGTGAGTCATCTTGCTTAGTTGTCGATGAGCTAACCATCAAAACTTCGACCTTGATCGCATAGTACCTGTACTCGCCGTGATCGCTTTGCGCTTGCATATTTATTTACTGACGTTAGGTGTGCCAAAAAAATCTGATTGCATGACGGTTAGACTCGCCTGGAGATGCCTGCAGTCTGTTGCAGCCGTCAACCAAGTATACATTCGGCGATTGCCATTTTTACTCTTTCTAGCTTTCTATCACATTTGCTCCATTACTCACAACACATTTTACAACCCACTACGTGTTTACAGCTCGTGAATCAAGACGAACGGGGCATAGAATATACCGGGCTAAACGGAGATCATCGATTCGGGTTGCACAGCAATTCAGATTGGTGGCGGGGGCTTGACATCACTGTCTCGACTATCCCAGCCTCATGGGATGGAAATAACAAGTGGTCATTACATGTAGACGAACGTGCTAGCATTGATCGACCTCTCAAAAGGATATACGCACGGTTTCTGAATCTAACCGATGTAGTTTTCGCGTGCGTGCATCCCCAAAATACCATACACATGTAACTGTTAACTATTGTTCGTCTGCGATGGTGCGGTGAAGTTCTGCTCCTGCACTTGCGTTCAGACGTTGGGTGGGGGCATGACCGTAGAAAACAAAAAATGATTGACGTCCTTCTCAGCACGATGTCCGTCAAGATAAGTGTGACAACTGGCCTCATATTCTTGGCCGAAGCAAGAGCTGGAAAGGAAAGCAAAGGATTTGGAGTGTGTGATTTCAGAAGGGTTTACAAATAACCGGTTGGTATAGTTTGTGCGTAACGTTTCGATTTTTGATACAAAAGCTTCGTCAGGCCAAGTGAACCCGTGGATAATTTTTGTAGCAATTATGGTAAACCGGTTCACTCGACCTGGTGAAACATTTGTATCAAAAGCGAAACCTTGTCTGTCCACTATATCATCCGGCTGTTCTCAAACCTTTCTGAAATAACGAGTTCTCGATCAGCTTCGGGCCCGCTTAAAGAGGTCACCCGCAATGTACTCGTCAATCGTATGACTATGCAGGTGTTCATATGGTCACCTTAGCTTGGCAATCACTTGGCAACCATTTCAACCCGAAGCGAGGTCACATCATCAATGCACAGTAATAGGGGCATGAGTACCTCTTTGCTGTTCAGGTGAGGACAGCGTTTTCAATGCCTTTTACCAACAAACGATTATTAACATTAGGCAGCTTGTGAACTCGGTAAACACCGGCCATACTTCATTCTGTATGTTGTTGTAAGTAACCAAGTATATGCTTATTATATATATATATATATATATATATATATATATATATATCCATGCGAATCAGTTCACATTTACGTGCCAAAAGTTTAATCGGATTAATTGTGTCCTCTGTGATCTGTCAGTTACTTCATCCGGAACGCAGCTATTCTCCTAGATTTACTGTGCCTGTGTGCTAGCGCGGTGTTTACTCTATACAACGCCTCTGCTCACCAGCTGTGACTGGCAGGTAGATTTGATGCATCAAATACCATATTTCTGTGTTTGACGAAAAAGCAAATGGTCGATAACTGACGACTTATTTTCAAGATGCCCTGAGCGCGAATGCAATTATTTTTCTTGAAGACCAAAATTCTCATAAGCTAAATTTATCCTCAACTCGGTGGGTGCCATTCTGATTTTGACACAACCTCCTAAGGCTACCACATATTTGAGCGTTTGATGTTAGCGCTTTCGGAACAACCGACTACAATCCCATGTACCGTGATCTAAAGAACCTTGGTACGATCTTTGGCTGCCGATTTTTTCCAAATTGTACAACAATCGATCGACGAGAATGAGAATAAACCATTTCAACGACTTACGTTTGTGCTTGAAAGAAGCCTGTTAATCACTAAAGTCTGTCGTGACCGGTCGATTCACTCATGCTCGTTTTAGTTCTCCCGGGAAAACAGCACTCCGTTATTAAGCTTTAGATTTCCTAAAATGTGATTCACGGTTGTTTTCAGTATCTTTTGTCTAGTTTTTGTTTACAACGAAACCACTTGTGCGGTGACGTCAGTACTTGATTCGCCCTCTCCACCGAGCTGTCGCTAGCCGATCACCCCTATTTGCACCTGACCCACGGACTGTGACCTAAGGCTTATCTGGTAAAATGAGATACCTTTTTGTCAGCTTAATCCACTGTTAACAGTATCTACTACGGATAGCTTGACATCACTCCGACAAGCTGATTCATGGTGACAAAACTCTTCATAGCTCAAAATCTCCCAACTGCGGCGATTTCACATGCGTCTGTTGGCTAATCTTGTCTGTACTGTCCAACAAACCAGCCGGTATTGCAAGGCAAACGATGTTGGATTCGTGGTATTTCGAAAAATTGGATGCCACGAATTCTTCCAACTGTTAGTTCTGAGTTGTAATCTGCCATAGCTGTCCGGCATGCATCTTGTTACGGTACATTTGCTTCATTTGGCCCTCACGATCAGCGCCTTCATCTGAGCGTAATAAAACTGTAATGATCTGGTAATTTTCTAAGAAGCTTCGGTGGATTCCATACTGGTACTAACGATGATGCACAATTCGACCTCCGTAACCTTATTGAGAAGGGGATACTACTTTATCATTCAACCAATTCTATTGGACGTACTTTTTCCAAAATCGGTCTTCAACCGCAATCGCTTGGTTTGTAAAACTATGCTTGATCACCACCCTTGTGTCGGACTGAAATAGGAGAAAAAGGGAATAGTGTTGTTAGCTCGCAGTATACATACAACAGTACTTGCTTCAATTGAAAGCGTTCTCAGTGATCAGCTTCACCTAGCTGCAGTTATCACCCAGTTTCAAATGTCAGTTAGTGAATGGCAATCCCCACAAGAAGAAGTTACCCCCTACCACTTATCGATGCGATCAAGAGATGGTCGGCGACATCCAGTTTCGGATTTGCCTGTCACTTTGGCCTCCATAGGACAGCCACAGGACGCCTGCGATTACAGAGGGACCATGGGTGGCTTGCGCTGCACCACCCACAGCTCCATCCACACACGCCATATCCAATGTAAACCCGAAGGAATAAGACCGGGAAGCATGTGGATGGGAGGCACGATCCATCAACGGAGCCGGCGCACACACCTTCAACATGCACAACAGCAGCATTCCTGTATATCCACGCAGGGGACCATGAGTACCAAACGTACACAAGGCGGTTGCTGGGCCGTAGTTCGCCCCACACAGGATGGAACCATGCTTTGAGCCTGGCATAGCGACGAGGACCGTACACCCGCCACCCAAGCAACAATTCAGTCTCCTGGAATCAGTAATCGAGGTGGAGTGTGCTAGGCAGGTAGGCACTTTTTCCGCATTCACGTCAAGCACAGCCACACCGGGGATATCAAACAACCAACATCGAATTTGGAGAAAAACAAACAGGCAATAATAGAATTGAAGGAACCGAATAAAGTGGATTGACTTTTCTCCAGCTTATAAAGACCCAGGTTAAGTGCAATTTGGTTTAGCATTACTGCGGTGAGGAAGCATCCTGAATGTAATGTCCACCTCAGTATGTTATGGCCAACATGTAACTTTGTACATTTTTGATTTCCGTTAACATGATCATGCCTGTAAAGGCGTGCCTTGGGTTGTCGGTATTTGTATTTATTATTATTATTTATTATTATAGATTGTATCGCGACAGTGCAGGACACCGTCATATCGTTTGGTGTACTAGATGTTTACATAAGTTAGCGTAAACGTGTTGATCCTCATCGTATTAATGGTTTGACACTTCTCGGTCAAACCTTCAGAGCGATCCAACAGTTCTAGGCACCAAAGAATCGGAGAGACTGGTTTTCTCAGCGCGTTGGAAATTGCTGCTTTGTTCGATGAAGTTCCTTTTGAAAGGTAGATCCAACGGGATTCCTACCAATTGCTTAACAATAATAGACGCAGTGTAGGACCAGAATGAGATCCAGCATGGAAAGCGTAGTATATCTCCGAATTGGTGCATCAACTCAAAACATAATCTATTTTGACGCGTCTCAGTACAAAGTATTGGGCGCTCACCAGCACAACACCTACTGATGTCTACTAGGTTCTAGAAATCTACGGCGGACAATATTTGCGTCCGTATGTGTTGTAAAGCTGTCAGTTACTGCTCACTGTCTGGTACTTCAATTTAACCAGAGGAAAGAAAAGCTGAAGTCAAGGTCCAACTGACCGGCTTATATTAACGACCGAAAGAGGAATAAATTTGATGTCAAACACATCCTTGTACTGACATCTCTGCCCTTCACTTATCTGTGCCTTCTGCTCGATTTATTTATTTGTTTGTCGTCTGGATGATTGACTATCTCACGCACCATATTTGGCCGTTACATCTGTCACCTTGTCGTGGTGCCACATAATTGGTTACCTGCTTGCATGGCCAGATGTAGGCCAGCCCAGGCTGATGATGTCGGACTGATTTCGCTAGCTTCTCACGCCATGATCTCCCATGCTGCCAGTGACCAACAGATTTCATCAGCTCTCTACATAGCCAGTCGCAGGCACGTTCAGTACTTTGAGGCCGTGTCCGCGATCGTTCAATGTACCCTTTGAATCAGTGGCTCAAAGTGTGGTCTGCGGACCCCTTGGGAGGCCGCGAGATACTTTCAGGGGGTCTACGGGATTTCCCGAAATGCTATACTGTAAAATCACTGTAATTTGACCACTCAAGAGACTGGACCAAAGTGATCAACATAGGACAGTGGTCAACATATGAATGTCTTATACAAAATCTTAGCGTGCCTTACTTTCTCGTCGTGCGTAGTGTAGTACGACATTTATTTTCATGTACACTCGAATATATCGAATGTGCTCTTACTTAATAAGATAAATATTGCCATATCTCCCCAAGTACTCATGCTTATGCTGCTGTTGTTTTACTAACACCAGTGTTCTACCGTCTTTGTTTGTTTGCTGCTTTTCAAAAAGGTCATCGGCAGTACGCCGGTACGCTGTATCGACGCTTCGCTACAGCGCAACCACCACCAGTCATGCGCGTGCTAAGGACAATGCGAAGGTAACCCGGTCCCTAGGCAGGCTCGAACCCGCGCCCTCAGACTACAAGACAGGCTTGTGATCCATAAGGATACAGGCTTTTCAGAGAATGTTGCCGATTTACCTTTCCTTTCAATGCCAAATGTTGCCTTTCCTTTGATCCATTATGTTGCGATACACATAATTGCCGATTTTAAATTTCTAAAAACACAGAGTGGATCCAAGAGCTGGCGTGCTATTTACGGAACATTAATTGCATACAAGTGCCTTGTGCTGAGGTTGATGTTGCATTCATGATGCCTCCTCAACGCAGTTGGCCTAAACCAACTTACACTTAAACTAAGTTTTTCTAGCCTGGATAAAAGCCATTCCACTTTATTTGTTTTGTTCCATTCTGTTACCCTGCAGCATATTCTGTGTCAATTTTGCGTGTTTACATTCCCCTAAATTCTCTGTGGTTGTTTAATATCCCCGGTGTGGGTGTGCTGGACGTGAATGTTAACAAAGCACCTACCTCTCTAACACCCTCACCTCGATTACTCACTCCAGGAGATTGTGAAGCTTGAAACAAGTAGTTTCCTTTATAAATCTAAACAGAAATATCAGAAGACCTAAGCTGTGAGATGACCCGGTCATTTCGTGCCTATCTCCTAAGTCACGTACAAGGTAAGTGACCATTTGAAAACAAGCAAGATTGGATGCGGTCCATTTGTGGTTATCTGATGGCCAACTATTACTGAAGCTGTGCGGACAGCTACCTTGGGCGCACTGACCGAAGTCTAGGCGTCAGGATCGACGAGCACATTCCTAAATGGTTGCGCAAGCGAATGGGATCTCAGACGGTGGAACCGGGTGAATACAGAGGCCAGGTAGCTTCTGCAATCACGGGGCATCTACTGAGCACTGGACACCAGGTCAGCCCAAGGGACTCATTCACTGTCTTCATGCGTAACCGAAGGCCGCATATACTCAAACTACTTGAAGCCATCGTAATCGATCGCTAACGACCGCCTCTGTGCGTACAGAAGCAGTTGACAGTAACATTGAGCCTGGCGTGGCAGTGCCGCAGTAATAGTTGGCCATCACCAATTGACCGCATCCAACCTTGTTTTCAAATTGTCCATTGCCTTGTACGTGACTTAGGAGATAGGCACGAAATGACCGGGTCATTTCACAGCTTACGTCTTCCGATATTTCTGTTTAGACTGAATCGTTACTGAGGTGGGGACGGGGTGCAGCGTCCTCGCGGCCGTACTAGGCTCATTGCATGGTTCCATCCTGTGTGGGGCGAACTACGGCCCACCAACCGCCTTGTGTATGTTTGGTACTCAGGGTTCCCTGTGTGGATTTACAGGAAGGCTGCTGTTGGGAATGTTGAAGGTGTGTGCACCGGCTCCGTTGATGGATCGTGCCTCCCATCCACATGCTTCCCGGTCTTATTCCTTCGGGTTTACACTGGATATGGCGTGTGTGGATGTAGCTGTGGGTGGTGCAGCGCAAGCCACCCATGGTCCCTCTGTAGTTGCAGGCAAATCCGGACCCGGATGCCGCCAACCAATTGCATACAATATCGGGCCTAATTGTTTGAGCTCTCTGCTAGACAACGGTAGCGCGGGACAGGCTTTCAACCAACAGTGGACGTAAACGTCAATGTCACCACAATCCAGGAGTCTAATGGATGGGTGTTGAGAAGGCTAGGAGTCACCAAAAGTCTTGATTGCGACCTGTGCAATGAATGAGCACATGTTCCAATGGGAGGCGTGGTGCGTGCGTGTGTGTGGAGAGGTTTTACACAAATCGCTCAAGGTTCATTTGTGGCCACTGGTCTGTGGGGACACATTTTCGGTTAAGCACCGATGCGTGCGAACACTGAGGAGCAGGGCAAAAATGCACACACACGTACGCAGAGACATGGAACATGCAGTATCGTCAAAAGTCTGCGGAGACGAGTGGAGTGATTGTGGGTCAGGAGAATTTCGCACATTGCAAAACCCCGCTACATGCATATCATTATTTGAACAAATACTCGTTTGGCGACCATTACCCTGAAAATATCACGTGATCAACTTACAGACTCTAAATTATTGATGGCTGTTATGACTCAATTAGTCAACATACCACTTACAGAGTTGGCCAACATACAGTGGTCTGGTTCCATAAGGTTTACATGGTGAACGTTCAAGCAATGAAAAAACGATCAATTTAGAAAGGTGATCCGGGTATAGAAGTCGCCAACTTCGGAGGTCCTACTGTGATACAGTTCAAAAATTTTTAAACGTGATCATTTATTTTATAGTTCGATGACAAATCCGCAGTGAAAATTCTGAGGACTAAATCGATAGGTCTTCATTAGCTTTGTGAATGGCCCATATGAAACAAACTTCCAAGAAGGAACCTGGGTTTGGCAGAGATCTAAAATGTCAGTACAGGAAGCTGTCAAATGTCAGCAAGGTAGTATGATAATCTTACTGTGATGCGATGGGTAGAGGCTGGATGGATCATTCTCCATCCCCTCAAGCTCACATAACCTAGACTTTGTCCTCGGGGGGGGGGGGGTGAGAGAAGAAAAATAGCTCACGATAAAGGGCTCCGTTTATAGTCATTTCGAAATTCGCTATCGTCCGAACTCGGCCAATCGGAGACACTTATTGGCGCGATCCCACCCTATGAAACCCAAACGGAAAGCG